TATATATATATATATACATATTTTCGTTGATAATGAAATCATACATATTTTTTGAAAATACTATTACGCTTTACGTTGCATTTTATTGATAACAATTCAACTATACATAATACATACATAAATATATATATATATATATATATATAATGAAAACATTTTATTTTCTCTTCGAATCAATTAAAGAGTTCCATAGAAAAACTGCAGTATGTCTATGTACGTCATGCTGAAAATTAATATACAAACTAAATGGTGTATACATACCAGAAAAAATATTCTAAATGATGAATTCCTTACAAATGTATTTATAATGAATGTTTCCATGATTTTTGATTAACTACAATTTTTATAGTTGATGCGATTTAAAAACTTTACAAAACCGTTAGGTTAAATTAATTCCATAGTATGTTATTTTATGAATTACATTTTTAATCATATTTTCTAGGACATATTTTAGGTGTCTATAAAAAGGGTGTAATTAAATTTGAGTTGGCCCTAAACATCATACTTCTGACTATAACATTATAATATATTTAACCGTTCAGGGAGAAAAATACTGTAAAAGAAATTTATAATATCCTAACATAACGGGCATAAATTGAAATATTAAAAAAAGCTTGAAGCTGAGTTCCATTACAATTTAATTATGATTAGATGTGTTTTATCCAAATTATTAAACCATATTCAAATACTCGTTTACGATTCTTCATGGTTTTAATATTTTACTATGAAAAATATCATAACCGTTTTTAGTACATAAAAGGTTATATTCTTATTATTCTTTAATGAACTCAAAAGAGTTATATTATTTAATGCCTTCAAAATTAAGCATGCAAAGAGTGTTATACGGTATGTGCAAAAAATCATTTTATTTAATTATTTAAAGTGTAAGTAATATGAAACAAATTTTGAAAATTAAGTATTCAAAATTTGTAATTGCATTGTATAGATTAAAAATAATTATTAATTTTATTCGAATTTTATTTTTGTTTTATGCGGTAAAATTAATGTAACAATTAATATTTATTTAAAAACAAATATGTATCCAATATTCTGAAAATGTATTATAGTGCAAGGGAGAACATTGTGTTATGGAAATAGAAATATATTTGATGGAAGTCTCTCAAAAATATACGCTCTATAATTTTGTGCGATCGCGTGTGTTTTTACAATAACAAAACACTCAAATTATAATTTGAAAAATGCTTAGTATAACATAAAAACATTTTTTTTTTTAAATTTCATAAAAATATTAAAAAGTTTATTGTCACCTGATTAATATAATAGTGTTGATTAACTAAATGTCTACTGTTCAAAATTTGTTGTGTTCATCAATCAGTTATGATAGTTACCGTAAAAATGAAATTAATAAAGTTAATTTCATTTCGTTAACATTTAGTATGTTGGATTGAATAAATATCCACAAGGATCATATTATTAATTATTATATTAAATAGTTAAATATTACTATAAGCTAAATAATAATATATTACACTCAAGTACTTTACGTCAATACACTTAGCACTGCTTGAGAATAACCAACTCTAATTATGTTTCATAAAATCAATTTTTATAGTTGAGTTGAGTTTGATATTTAATTATAACTAATGCGGATAACTATGCAAGACATTTTTACAAATAATCTTGTCAAGTATTATTCAGTTGACTGATTCATATTTTAACACATAAAGAACATAAATTACTGATTTATAAGAAAATCATATTCTGTTTATAATAATTTCTATAATATTATGATAACTAAAAATAATATTATTCTGTTATTTTTATCGTTCTTAACAAAAATAATGAAAACGTGACTAGTACGAGATTTATTATGTAGTATTATTCATTAATTCAGTTTTTTAAAGTACTACAACCAGAGTTTTTACTCTGGAGTACCACTATACATATAAATATATAGTTAGAAAGCTTGGGAGCATTAGATTTTTTTTTTTTCCTTGGTGCATGCTTTAGGAAATTCCTTGTAATTATTTTTGCTCCTTATATCTATAGCAAAATACTTATTTTGGTTACTTCAAAACATTAGATGAATTATCAACAGAACACTAGCATAATTTTCTAATACGTCATGTTATAATAATTCACTTCGAAACCGTATATACAATACACTACCATTGCAGCATTACAGTGTAAAAACATTTTAATGAAATAAACTGTCTACAAGTTAGTAATAGCGTAGAAAGATTCGCTAACGTCCCTGGCAAACTTATAAAAAAATGGCTTTTTATTAATTAAAAATTAGATGTGATGATATTATTTTTATCCTTAAATATAACTTTTTTTTTAAGAATACAATTTTCAGATATTAATTGTTATTACAGTGTATATTTTTGGTAAATTCATCGATTATTTCTTCATATGAAATTTTCTATATGAATTCTCTTGTCCACTTTTCATAATTGCATGATTAAATGCACACGTAGGGTGTACAATAGTCAGATGAAAGATACACATTTCAAAAGGTATTTGTTATGGACGTGATTCTTTTTATAAACGGTAAGAAAATGTCGGTAAACGCATTTGCTTCAGTATAACTTTATTAATAGGTATAACTTTGGCGAATATTTAGCTTATACCTAAATCATAAACACAATTAACTCATTTTAAGTGGTTTATCTTTGTACCGCAAACTTATGATGCACTTAAATTTTTGTTTAATAAAACACTAATTACATACTCGTGAAATGTCATCGGAGTACACTGAAATTATTAATTTTAATACTATTGTATTATTCATATTATATATTTTTTTTTTAACCATCATTACTAAATATTCATAGTAATATTTACTGTATTCGTAAGTGTACACTATTATAAACTAAGTTCTATTTAACTTTTAATTCTATTATAATTTATGTGATTATTAGCTTAACTAATTTTAATACACAAACAGTAATAGTTTACAAACGCATTTTATATTATAGTTAATAAATAGTATCAAATCAGCTTTGATAATACAAAGATACGAAAGAAACTTCAATTTTATAATTTATTCTATGATTGATTTCGTAGTACATTAAATTGTTTAATTTTTTCCTTATTTTTATGAAATATATTCCTTATTAGTAGCATCGTTATTTCATACTTTTGTTTTGCATTATTATGCCTAAATAAAATGTACCTTAAATTTCACTATATATATATATATGTGTGGTTATATATATATATATATATATATATATGGTTTTAGCAAAAGCTCAAATTGTGTTTAATATATTTTGATCGGGAAAGATAAATCCCAATTATAATTTCTTTATCTATTTGGTATTATTATAACTTTTAAATAGAAAATGTTTAATAACATCAAATACGAATTTGTTATTGATAAGCTACATAATGAGTATAACTTCTTACCTAACCTAAATAATGAAATTTTCATAGTAACCCTTTCAAAACTATATTGTTTGTGTATCGATATAAGCTTAGTTAACTTATTTTGAATCCTAAATTCTAAACAACTGTGTCATTTTAAAAACAGATCTAATAGTACTAATCATTCAAATCACACAAAAATATATAATAAGTGTGTCTTGTGCTCATAACAATCTCCAACTCATTCAATTTGAATGTTTAATAGTTTAAATGATAGGTATTTAGTCACTAAGTATTCTTAGACCAAAACGAACCCTCTATCTTCATTAATCGGAGATATTGGGATACAAAACGATCACAACACATTGAGAAAGAAACGCTCCATATGAAATCAATGGGCGGAAATCGCGTTTGAGTATATAACTTGAACAAGGCAAAAAATAGATGTAATCCAATGTTTGATGCTTCATTTCGACACTAATAGCTTTAAATGACAAAAAATCATTATGTAAATCGGCTGGATAGAACGGCCGAGCAGATTTCATACATTTTTTTAATGTATAGATTTAGATAAGATAAATTTATTTTAAGCTTTTTTTTTTTTTTTTTAATAGAATTTGAAATAAAATTTACTTTTGTAAATTATTTTAAAATAATTATTTAATATAGATTTTTGGATTTTTGTACATTAAAATGTATCAATTAATTTACTTAATTTTATTACTATTTGGGCTTTTTATGTTCTAATAATGTTTAAAGTACATATAGGTTTTATTATGCATATTAGTAGAAATTCATCTCAAATTGTATTAATGTTTTTATGTACAGTTAATATACTAAACACTTGTATAGTTTTATGTATTTGAATATTTTAAGCTTTTATTAATGGTACGCTTGCATGCGATTTACACTAATTTATGGTCAGTTTTTACGTTTTTTGAAACAAAACCTTTTAAAAGTGTACAGTTTTGTATTTTTAGGTATTTATTCAACTCTAATCAAGAAACACCCAACATTCGAATTCTGATAGAGCTGTGTTTGAAATAATTAACACTCAAAATTTGATTTGATCCAATATATTACTAAAGCGATATTTCTTGAGGATATTTAGTAGAATGAGTTAATTGAGCTTTTAAATAATAGCCATTAATATTTTATTTTGAATATACGGAATTGGAAATTTATAAAAGTATACAAGAATATAAATACGCATAGTTATAAATTACGTTTAAAAATTAATATATATTACAAATTCGTTGCAACTTAAAAAAAAAAAATAATCAAACAGCAATATCTTGGTTCGTATTAGTATTGTACATCAATGAAAGACAGAAATATAATTGGTGATTGGTGATATTCAATGGCACATGAAATGTAGTAATATAATGTTTAGAACGCTCGGGGACTTTCAAATTTAAAAAGGGAAGTTAGAATCAACATCATCAGTACGCATTCCTCATAAAACATTCATGATACGTCTATGCTCTGCAAATGAAGCTAAGTCGAATTGATCGGTAAGCAGAAATCAATCGAATCGGTCGCAGAAGCCAACAATTTCTCATAATTGTAAAAGTAACATAAATAATACTGGAATTATTCAAACTAGAAAAACGTATGAAAAAATAAGAGATGATTATTAAACATTTGTATTTAAAATTGTTATTCATTTCATGGTACTTCATGGAAAATTCATGGAAAATCAATTGACACTGGTCATACGGTATATAACTTCTACCAGCAAATCAAAAGAAAGATTTTTAGCATTTCTACCATCAGTGAGGCACAAAGGAGAACAGATGGAATATGCATTAATAAACAAATTCAAAGAGTTGGGCATTCTATTAGAAAATTGCAGAGGAAAATCCTATGACAACGCCTCCAATATGTCTTTAGTATATAAAGGACTTCCAGCTCGTATAAAAAAGTATGCGAGTAATGCAGTTTTTTGTACCATGTGCAGCTCACTCTCTAAATCTTATTGGCTCCAATGCTGCCGAAACAACTAAAGAAGGTACTCAATTTTTTTTTATACAATTCAAATGGTTTATATATTTTTATTTAAATCAACATATAGATGGGAGCTTCTTAAAAACATCTTAGATAAATCTTCTAATTCTACAATAGTTCCAAAAAGCTTATCTACTACTAGGTGGTCTTCACGGCATGAATCGTGCAAAGGAATATCATCTGGATATAAAAAAATATTACAAGTTCTAAAAATATTATCAGAAGATAAAGCTCAAACACCATACACTAGACATGAAGCAAATTCAATGAAAAATAAATTGGAAAAATTAGAGTTAGTTTTATGTTGAATTTATGGACCCCCATATTGTAGAGATTCGACGCTACAAGCAGTCAAAATATATAAATTTATCAATTATTGTTTCATTATATGAATCATTAGAACTGTATGTACAAGAATATAGAAAATTATTTGAGAACATTTTGCAAAAGTTTAAAGATCCATGTGGGAAATCAACATTTTCATGAGAAAAGTTAAGAGTCATTAAGAAAAAAACACACTTTGATAACTCAAATTTTATAGAAACGGTACATCAGGGTAGTAATAAAATGAAGAATGATTTTTTCTATGTTATAATTGATATTATAACATCAACTTTGTGTGAAAGAAAAGAATCATACATAAATGTCCATTCAAACTTTGGATTTTTAAGTAATTTGACTAAATTACAGCCTTTGGCTCTACGTAAGAAAGCATTGCATATTGTTAATATGTACAAATAAGATTAAGATTTATCTTTCATTGAGGAAGTAGTCCAATTTCAACAAATTGCAAAATAATTTTCCAAACAAGATTTAACAATAAATAGTTTATTAACTAAATTGTCCAATTCTCCTTTGAAAATGACTTTTCCAAATGTGTTAATAATTTTAAAGATTTATGCATGTATGCCATGTACTAATGTCAGTGGTGAGCGATCATTTTCTGTTCTCAGAAGAATAAAAAATTAACAAAGATCTACACTTTCGCAAGAAAAAACATCTTCCCTATCGCTTTTATGTATTGAAAATGATATTCTTAGAAAACTGGATTGGTCTGGATTGGATTATACATTTTTATCATGAAAAGTACGCAAAAAAAATTTTAATTTGTGATAATTTCTAATAAAATACCTATTTATTTAAATTGTATCTAGTTTTTCATATTTATATCTATTGTAAAAGATCATTATCTAAAATAATTATTGACATGTGTGTTAAGTAAATAGACTTGTATGTTTGTTAAGTTGTAAGTATAACATATTATGTTAAGTATTGATAATTCGAGCGATGCGAGAAAAAAATATTTTGGTGTTATATTTTGAAAAAATTTCACAAATACTGAATGAGGGGCGTCATATATGTATTTGTTCCCCTATACATTGACCCTTATTACGGCCCTGATGGAAATACTTAACTTACAGGTAAATACATATATAGATATATAAAAATCCTTATGTTGGATGTTCTAACAAAAAAAAAAAATTTCGTTTGTACATATACAATTCGTAAATCTTTTTCCAAAAAAGTAAAACTAAATATTCGTCATTTAATAAAAACTTTTGGAAAATACCTTTGCTTCTAATGTCAAACAATATAATTTAATTATAATTATATTATAAATTATAATAATTTGCTACTGATAAAATTTATTGTATTTTGTTCGAATGATAATTCGTTTTAACCGTTCGGCAAGATGTAGAATTGTATAACAAATATATTTCCTCGCAGCGGAGATAACTACAATGAGCGTAAAACATCGAGCTCTATCTAGTGGTAAAGATTTGTACGAGGTTCGCTACATTTTTCCAGACGAATTGTAGTACGAACTAAAGAAATTTGAAAAATAAAAATTTAGCATTCTCTCGTTGTTTTGCTCTTTTACCTGCACGAGTTCAATAATAACTGAAAATCAACGTTACTTTGATTGGTTAAATTTTATTTATACATTTAGATGAATTTAATTTGCTAGTTTTTGAGTTTAAAAATAGTTTTTTTCATTTAATCGATATTTTTGTTTTATGAATATCAAAGCTAATGTAGCATAACATAAATGCGTTAAATTATATACTCAAAAAAAAAAAAAAAAGGACTTTAATTTACAACGAATATTTGGTCTTTGAAATATTCATTAAGCTGTAGACAAGAATCGATTGGTTCATAAAAGTTTAATAAAGATAAATATTACAAGATCACACAGGTGAACTTTAAATTTCACATGGCTATTTTAAAATAGTGAAAATCACTCAATAGTTAACTTATTTTTAAACGTTTAACAAGTATCATGGTTAAGTATCTGAATACTGATATCAATTTAATAATTATAAACAAGAAGAAGCGAACACTGAAAGTTTGAGTGAAAATTAAAAATCCATGGTATTTTAAGGTTTACCTAAAAACAAATGACTAAAATAAAAAATTCCAAAAATAGAAAGATTATTCGACAAAAATTATAAAAATACTTAGAATTGTAAAACTAATTACTTATTAATATTACATTTAGCGTTTTCGGTGTTAAAAATTGGGTATGTATTTAAATGTTTAAAACATAGAAAATAATTATTGAAAATCAATTGTTATTTTTAATACTTTATAATGTACGGTTTATATTTCTTTTCAATGAAGTTCAATTTTGTAATTAAATTTGAATGCATCTTCGCACATTTTCTTTACTTTATTAAAATTTAAAATTTTTTTATTAAATCTCTATAATATTAATTCGTGGCTCTTACTTCCATGTTATTTCATGTGGTTTCTTTTTTAAAAAAAAACTACTATATTGTAATTGAACTTTTTTTTATTATTTACATTATTTCAATTAAATAGTTTTAATTTAGTATTTTTTATTATACATAAAAAAAGTAGTTACAAAAGTTATTTCTAAATTGAAAATGAAGCCATAAATATATATATACAAATAATCATTCTTATAGAATACATCTCAATATAAAAAAATTATACTAATTAATTTTAGCCAAAAATCACTTAAAAGCAATTCATTTTTAATGCTGAATGAGTTTACTTTATTTTGTGCTCTATTAACGTGAAGCCTAATATTATGCATTTGTAGTAAAAAAAAAAAATATAATTTGTATTTTAAATTTTATCACAATAATTTATTTCATACTTATAATTTATGATAAGAATATTTTATTTTTTTTAACTCATCATCATTAGATTTTTACCTTGAAGAATTTTATAATGAAAGCAGTGGGGTAAAAATAACACTTATGACGTTAAAAAAAATAATAATAATTTAGACCATCATTAAAATAACGCCGGAAGCTTATAAAAAACACTGGTATACTGTACAAAAGGTGTAAGAGTGAAAATAACATAATGTTATGTTTGATGTTAATCTTTCTTTTCGACATTGTCGTATTCTGACTGCAAATACATAGGTATCTTTTAATTTTAAACAGTAATTGCCACATCAAGGTTAATAAAAGAGATTGCGTCGACGTAAATTTTGAAATATTTTAGAGAGATTAGTGTTCCTTCTCTACACTCGTCCTTCGTACGATATCAACGTATCAAAACAGGACAGATTCGGCTAACAAATGGCACTGCAAAGTCAACCAAATCCCGATTTGTTAAGTGTTAGTAAGAAGAAAAACAAAATGGCAATGAGTACTTCACGAAAATGTTGACTTGGAGAATGAGGTCACGTTTTTTTTGGAATGGATTACCCTGACAGGTGGGATTAATTGTAGTCAATATAAACGCATTAAATATTTAAGTGCTATAACTTTTTTAAAGCTAGTAAATATTGATAAAATGTTCACTGTGGCAAGGAAAATATTTCAGGTGTAAAATGATAATTATTGATAGTTAAGATAGATCTCGATTGATCTCCTATTTATACATAGAACTATCATTGTTTAATAAGAAACTTCAAATATTTTATATATTATTAGTATTTATAATTTTATTAATCGGTGTTTTATGTATTTTATTATTTTTCATAATATACATAATGTGCTAGTTGAGAGATTTGTGGGGAATCTTGGTCTTTTGTATTTATAATATCTGTAAAACTCAATCAAAACAAAAAGTAACTGTTTTAAACTATTAACCATGTTAAATTATTACTTTCTATAATTTTGTCTGGAAATAAATTAAAATTTTTCATTTTTACATATGATAAATTGGTTAAATTGTATTTTCCTAGTGTTTTGAATAATTCTATAACTGGATTGAAATTTTAAAACACACTCACTCATTGAAATTGTTTTTAAAAAATATACATACCCGTTTAATCCATTATGTATGGGCTCACATGCCTAGATTATATTATATACTCACGCGCGTGCGGATGATTCGTCTAGAAAGTTTTAGAACATTTTGCACAACTTGTGTAGATCCTATATACTGTACGAACTGTCTAGACATACCATATTATTACTTATTACTAGAATTAATTAACTTCCAAATTAAAATTATCAATTATAATATCGTGTTACTATATTCAATATAATTTTGTAGCGTTAAGATATTAATTAAATTTGATGCAATTTTAAAGTTATTAGTGTTTCTAAAATACTAATAAATCAGTGAACTGACTGTACTAATTATTTAATTATATCAGTAAGGTTTTACCTGTTTGGATTTCACTGACATTCTGTATAATATGATTTAAAAAATCTTACATTAATTAAAAATTAACATTGTGAAATTTTTTCAAGAGTTTTATTCATGAAATGTTTTTTTTTTTAATCCTATGAAATTTGAGGCAAATATAGTAAAAGTTTTTGTAGGACTAATAATTTATTATTATAGAGGAAAAACACGATTTTTATTAATTTTTCATAATCAATTATTAAATTATTTATTTTTAACTTAATTAAATGTTATATTTAAGTTTCAATGGAGAAATAAACAGTATTGAAATCACAACTTAAATAAAATAAAAAAAATAAATGATGAATTTTAAATTTAGGTTTATATAAATTATAAAAACTATGTTTGAGTTGTTCATCCACTACGACATGATCAATCTGGTTTTTTGTATGACCAACAGGAGACATCCAGGTTTGTTTATGTATTTCTTTGGGGGGGCAAATACAAGCTACTACTAATAGTCATAATTTTTGACATAGGAAATTACTTAAGTATGCTCCCATTATCGCTAAATATTTTGTGTAGGCTGTGTTCCCCAATTGTAGGTTTGAATACTTGTTTCTTACCGATTTTTGTATTAAGGTCTCCTATTATAATCTTTTTAGTCTTATGGGGTATACTGCCATAAACTCTTTCTAAATGGTCGTAGAACTCTTCTTTAGTTTGCTTCACTTTATCCTCCGTAGGAGGA